ACATCTGACTGCCACGTGGAACTGGCTGCGCTTCGGGTCGAGCCATTCTGAGGTGCGCTCTAGGCCTAGGATCGTTGCGTGGAAATTCTTCGCGATTGAAATCAATCTTTCGCAACCGCTTTGCCCTACCAACGGCAAACAGATGTGCAGTTTCCTTTGCATGCGATCTCTTCGGTCATCTGTTTCGACCGTGTATTATATTGAGGCTCATCACCGTGTTCCGCCGTCGAAGAGTGCATTCGTCGCCCACGCAATGGGCTAATGTAAGTCTACCTTGTTGTGGGGCTCCAGCAACACGTGCTCTTAAACCTTAACGCAGAGATTAAAAAGGCATGCTATCAATGTGAGCTGGCGGCCGTTGCCCCGTTTACTCAGCGCGGCATGCTCTGAAATTATTGCACGAGGTTTAGTTGAAGTTGGAGTTGTCACGGCGTACGTTGCATGCCGTGTACAAAACAATTTCTTTCTATTTCGGTTGCAGTATTTGAAATAGTAGAGACAAACCACAGAATATATATCCCACCAATATAAGGTTCAATGAGATCTGGCGTGAAGGTGGGGAATGTCCGCCCATGAAGGTAATGAAGGAGGGATCAGATATGATGAAATAAGCTTACTCACTATCCGTTTGTTTTGGGGTGGAAAAGACCGTTCTAGAAAACACCAATTCTTCGTTTAGTAAATATGCTCCCCAATACGTCATCGTTGATTGCATCATAGAACGTAATGTGCGCGTGCCTTGGACCCTTCTCTGTTTGTTGAATATTCGTCCGTGAATTTATTTTGAATGCTTACATTCACACACTCAGTTGAGGTGCTGTTCTTAAGTTATTCCAATGCCAGGCTTATTTGTGTCATAACTCGTACCTTTGCCCAAATTCCTGGATGATGCGGCATAAAACATGATTCGTGTTAAAAAATGCATTGAGCGCATGACATTGGTTAAAAGCTAACTGAAACTCCGTTGATGCCAGAAATCGTGCTGACGTACGCCAGACACCAAAAACTGGATGATGATATTTGTCTTGGCCTTGAGTACTTGCCTTGAGCGTTGAGCTCCTATCAAATGTTTTCGTCAGAAGCGGCGCTGCCCCCGTTCCGCGTCCCAGGCCGCTAACTATCCGTAATCCATGACAGCGAAGTTCACAGCAAACATCTTGCTGCGACTCCAGGTGGCATTTCTCGATCCGACTAAAGCGAATGCTTCACGGCCGCTGGACGGAGGACCGTGTCTGCTGCAGTGAACCTGTGTGCGCAGTATGAAACCCTAACGACACCGCATTGTGTTAACCCGCTCGAGATACAAAACTACGGTGCTTGATATTAGCGAGGAAGGCCTTAAAGGCAATGCCTCTCATTTGAAGATATTAAAGCAAGCACCAGATTCTCTGCCTCTGTTTAGTTCTCAGTTTAGTAAATATGCTCATCGGTACATCTTTGTTTGAGTACGTCATGGTACCTTGCACAGCATTAGTTGGGAGCCAATTGGCGGCCATTTGATCTGGAAATCGTACTCACGAACGCTATATATTTGTCAGTTATATTTGTGTTGGCCCTAATCGCCGAGTGACCAATTCAATGAGAGAATTTGAGTCACGTTATTATGGCGTCATGGACGCTTGAGAGATCTTGAAATAGTCTCCCAGGAAAAGTCTGCACATCTTCGCGGTGATGTCACTAAGGAACTGGAGGGCTTTATGTCTTAAGAAGGGCAGGGGTGTGAACTGCACCGAATAATCTACAAGATGGCTATTTCAGTTCAAAACCCCATGCAAATGAGGAACACTCCCTCTAAGACGAGAGGATCGGGCTGCATACCGTCACCGTAATTCGGCAGGCACGCGGAGACTGTCGCCGAGGACATGTGCCCTGCAGGAGAAGGGATACCTGGTGGGCCGCCACCCACCCTACGACGTTCCTACATTAAGGACATTCAGGACAGCGTAACCGTGCGGCCGCAGTGGAGCAATGCACCACGTGGCTGCAGCGTGGCAGTGCCATGTGGACCATAGGGAGGTGCTGCCTATGTAACCTGCGACCACTTACACGGTCTTTGAGAGTTCCCGTGTGGCCACCAGGTTCGTATCTTTTCCTATCCCTGAGTCAGTGTCACCAGAGGCTACTGGAGCCGTGCCACTGGAGACTATTGGAGCCGTGTCACCGGAGACTATTGGAGCCGTGTCACCGGAGGCTACTGGAGGCCGTGTCACCGGAGACTACCAGAGCCGTGTCACCGGAGACTACTGGAGCCGTGTCACCAGAGGCTACTGGAGCCGTGTCACCGGAGGCTACTGGAGCCGTGTCACCCGGAGGCTATTGGAGCCGTGTCACCGGAGGCTACTGGAGCCGTGTCACCGGAGGCTACTGGAGCCGTGTCACCGGAGGCTACTGGAGCCGTGTCACCGGAGGCTATTGGAGCCGTGTCACCGGAGGCTACTGGAGCCGTGTCACCGGAGGCCACTGGAGCCGTGTCACCGGAGGCCACTGGAGCCGTGTCACCTGAGTCTACTGGAGCCGTGTCACCGGAGGCTATTGGAGCCGTGTCACCGGAGGCCACTGGAGCCGTGTCACCGGAGGCCACTGGAGCCGTGTCACCGGAGGCCACTGGAGCCGTGTCACCGGAGGCCACTGGAGCCGTGTCACCGGAGGCCACTGGAGCCGTGTCGCCGTGCGTCTGACATTGCGGGGTGTCGCCGTGCGGCTATAGTGCGGGATGTCCTACGGCCACAGTGGGGGCGCAGCCGTACAGCTCCAGTCTTCCCGCCAGTACCGTTTTCCCCCCTGGAACGAGTCGGCGGCTGGTTCTACGTTCAATCTCACGGCATGGTCTACCGTCCGTCATCGCATAAGATCCATTGTGTAGGATCTAATAAGGCCGGGCCGAAATTAAATCGCCGGATGCCCTTCGCATTAGTCCGATCTTGTAATTAGCGCGGGGCGTGACGTCAGGCCCTTCAGCTGCCCCACCTCATCTGGGGGGGGGGGGGGGGGGGGGTCTCAGAACAGCTGTCATCGTGTCTCCGACGGCTCTAGGAAAGCCGGTTTTTTTTATTCACGTCGTTATCTCTCTTCATCCTTTCCTGATCGAGTCGACAGAGAATGCAACGAGCACTGGGTTCTCAGCAAAGGCTTCCGGAGTGCAACATCTTTTCCGAGGATAAGCACATGGCTGCAGGCGCTGCAGCGCTACTGTCTGAGCTTCAGAGGCAGCTTCCTCACACGCGGCTACAGCTACGCACAGCTCTGTGGGCAAGCACCAGTCCTGCGCAGAGTGTGTCGAGCCTGACCTCGCTCGGTCCTGACCACCAAGGGTGGTCCCGTGCTGGAGCTTCGCCTCACCGGGCGACCCGGCCGGCCTGTGGCGTTCGGCCGACGGCCGAAATATCGGCTCACGGCCAATCGATGCCGCATTAGGCGGCCGCCTGGACCTCACCTCCACCGATGGAATTAAAATCGACGTGAGGCCAGCCTTTCGACGGGAACAAAGGGCTCGCGGCGGGCGGCGCACGCTCCGGCCGCGTCCGCCAGTGTCGCCGGTCCGGCCCGGGTCCGGCGGGAGCCACGCAGACACCCCGAACCTTGTTAGCAGCAACCCGAATTGCACTCGCTCGTGAAGTCGAGGCTAATCGCGTTAGCTGAAGCCCCCAGGAAATGGCGGATCACCTGGTGTGATTATACCAAAACATAGGGCGACGGTAGTCTAATTAGCACCTGCACGGGTTCCCTCAGGCGGTGGCAGTCAGGTCTCGGACGGTGGTCTCGCTACTCACTGAGCTCCGGCACCAGCGGCGCCGGGCTGTTTCCGGGGATCGATCAATGCAGCGAGGCCGATGGGAATAGTTTACTTATTATGGGAAATGTGCTCTGAGGCTGTGTTCTGGGGCCGAACGATCCGAAGTGTCACTTAATTACAACGCGAGAGGTAATAAGGGGACAGCTTAAAGACGAGGGCCTAGAGAGACAACAGAGACCGAGCAAAGGAGGAGAGAGGAGAGAGAGAGAGAGAGAGAGAGAGTAGAGAGAGAGAGAGAGAGAGAGGAGAGAGAGAGAGAGAGAGAGAGAGGAGAGAGAGAGAGGGGGGGGGGGGGGAGGCGGGACAAGGAGAAGGATGAGGCGTTTAGTAAATGTGCTTTGCGTTTACCCGCCGAGTTCTGAGGCTTTATGCAAATATCACGCGAATAAAAGGCGCAATACCTCACCTGTGATGAACCATCCGCTTTGCACTCCGTCGTTACCGAGCTACGCAACGGGGTTGATCGGGGGGGGGGGGGGGACTAGACGAACTCCTTCAAATTAATACCATCGAAAGAAGATATGCACCGCTGCTCTGTGCGATAGTGAAAAAACGTTATCCGTAATAATTCATCATAGCGACAGATAGCCTTACCATCAACCGTTTTTTTTCAAATAGACATCGCTATCACTGTTTTTTATAGTAAATTGGCACTTCACATAACGCTGTGCGTCCTAGATATCAGCACCATGCATGGCGTGTTGCCATTGTATGGAACTGTAATGAACCTTCCTTGAAATAACCAACCATAAAACTGGAATGGTGCATTACATTCATACCCAGCCGTAAATTACTACCGTTGTTGTAGACTGGGACTTTACCGCGCACTCAGAAGCCGAGGCCATAAGGCGTGTCTGCCTCTCATCCTGACAGGAAAGGCGGGGACTGCGGGCAACGGACCCCGTATCTCTGGTTTCCAAACGCAACACTCCCCATTAGGTCACTGCCGCTTTCACGAATTACTGGGCAGTGTATGCCATTAAGCATGGCATGCCGCCATCACCATGCCATGCCATCTATATGACAGTTTTCTCCCAATATGTAACAGAATACGAATATGAATACCATGTTCGGTGTTTTATAGGACGTTCGGTTTCAGATGCCACGTGTGGGCTCAGCGCTTGTTTCGGTGACACCGTCCACACAATGCCACACGCACCCCGTTCGCCGCAGCTAACCGCTACTGACGGCCCTCGTGCATTTGCAGCACGCTGTGAGACGAACGGCACCAGGACACTTGGAGCCTGAACATGACGACCCTGACGATTACCACCTCGCTAGACCGGCCGTGCGGCTGACGGCCTCACTGGAAGGCCGGCCGAAGGTGACGCTGCAGACCAGCCGGGCTTGAACATGACGCCAGCCAGCACCCGCTCCCTGTCGCCGCTTCTCGTCTCGGTGGTGATAATCGCCCCATCCGTGCTCTCCGTCGACCTAGGTAAGTGAGTGTTTTTTCCCCAGAAACTCTCTTCACGGGTCACGTTGAGCGATATTTGCGTCGGCGCTGCTCCCCAACTCTCGGCCTCGGTGGCATACGTAACACCCGGTCACTTTCAGAGTCTTACGTAGGACCCGGACACGGTGTTTCACTCAGATCTTGGTAAGCGGTGTTTGCACTAAGACTACTAGCCGCCGATAACCTGAAGTAGTGCTTACGCTATTCATGCATGGGCTAGTTACGTGACATGTGTCCCAGCTGTTGCAAAGAACAGGGATTTTCACTAAGTGCATTGTCCACATTAGTGGTTTGTGAACAGCACTAATACGAAGCATAGACATGCCCTCTGCTTAAGTGATCGGCGCGGTGCTTTGGGCCATGTCAGAGACTGCACGCGCCTATGTCACATCCCATGGCGCTCTTACTACAGCGCAACAGTGCATGACGCCAGCGTGACAACCAGCACACATGTGTGAAGATGTGGCGCCTAATCCAGAGATGCTGGCAAGTTTATTCCTTGAAATTCAAATGCTCCAAATTTTGAAATATGTGATGCTTTATTCCAGCGGTGCATCTGTGGGTCACCGGGACATATCTAGCCTCGAACCACGAGGAAGCTGGTCGCTATAGTTGGGGGGGGGGGGGGGGAGGACCAAAGATATAGCCTCTACGTCGCCGCTGATGGCTGATTAAAAAGAGACAGTCACTTCCTTGCCAGAATATCTCTGCCCAACTTTCTCTAAGAGAGGCGCGGAACTTCCGATTCATTGCACTGTCAACCTGATACAATTGACGCGCGCCGCGCTTGATTAATACCACGCGCTAGTTGTTGCCATGGGGACGTACCATACCCCGTTAATTTCATTCCCAATTCATGCAGATTGGCACGTGCCCAGCCGGATTATTTCACTGGAATTCCTTGCAGCTGGCTAGGCCACCTAGGCACCTGAAACGAACAGTCAACCAATCCTCCCGCTGAGTATTAGGATCGCGGAGATAACGACTTGAGGAGGCAGAATTTAAATATTGCGATAACGTACGTGGTCATCCATTCCACCACCGCCGCCCACGGCCCGCTGCGCACCCCGTATATTGCCAAATCAGAAAGGGAAGGGGGAGGGGCACCGACACCAGGTCGCTTAAGGTGGTAAACAAATCCAAACTTTGACTTTTTGCGCGGTCTTTAGGTAATTACCAAGCGGTAGCCATGGTTTTGGCTCTCAGATCCGATGTTTGATTTGTAGTTGTCGCAGTTTCTGTTCAAAATAGTGTTAGAAGCCGTGAAATGTCCTATGAAGTTATGCTCATCGATGCGCTTTTCAGTTGAGCATCAGTTGTAACAATGCCGACGGCCATGAATTGGTCAGAGAGCCCCTGATTAGTTTAAAGTGTCATCTTATATATCAGTATGACGGTGCAATCTTGCCATATGTGGATATAAGGTCGGACACGAGGGTTGACAGCATCAGGCCTATGCTATATGTTTTCCTTATACAAATCGAGGCGGGTCATGGAGGCTCTAATCCAACCAAAGCTGATCAAGAACAAGCTAACCTACCCAATGCAAGTGTTTTTAAATGGTTGCGACTTCAAGTTTGCTAAACGTCCAATAAATGCAAGGTGGACAAATGCATGCATGTATTTAAGGCCTGACGGGTGCGCGGTTAGCCCAGCAAACCGAACCGAACAGGGCGTTGTAGCAACGGCGTACCATTCAATAGCGGCGCGCCGTCCAGGCGACAGTGACGAAAGCGGCGCAGCCTCCACAAATAACGCCATAGCATCACGCGTCCCGCGTCACGAGCCTTGCTATCGCCAGCAGCGTCGCAGCGCGCCACATTTGAAATGCCGACTGACAGGAGTGACTCCGAACGAAGCGCCCCCGGGGCTCGGCTGGCGGCGGTCGCCGTCGGCGGTCCCCGCAATCGACCTAGGTCTGCGTGACACTGTCACGGAACCGGCAATTAGCCGAGGGCATTTAGCTCGAACATCAATGGCGCAAAAAGCCAATGACCCTAAAAGCTATTCGGTTGGAAGTTATGGCGGAGGAGGACGGCGGCGACGATACGACGAGTCCATAGATCTTCGGATTCACGTTATGCTTTCCTGTGGCGCGACGTGTGTTTGCCGTCATCGGCTAGTCCCCGTAGGCGCCGAAGGCCACGAGGCCATGCTCTTCAGCCCACCCACGTCAGCTTGCATTCCAGATGTCATGTCCTGCTGGCCTGCATGCGGCAGCGGGGTCCGTGACGGGTGCTGACGCCACCGTCGGCCGACCTATCAGGCGCGGCGGGCCGCTCCAGCAGCGTCCACCGCCGCGCCGCGGCTTTCGGAGTGCGCGACACAAGTGGCGCAGACGTGCGCCGTTGCTGCGCCGCTCGTCGCCGCTTCCGCGCGGCGCGGCGCCCGCGTAGCCCGAGCGCTTATCTCAACACGCTGAACGACATTAGGGCCACTTCAAGCCCATCGGGCTGAATAATTCAGGTCGGGCCGGCGGCATCGACCCAGGCCGGCTGAAAGGTGTCCGATCGGCGGGCGGGTCACGTGACACGAGAAGGAGGGGGGGGGGGGGGGGGGCACGGGCCGACCTCCAGCTGGCGTCGCGTGCACCCGCGGGGCCAGCCGACATCGGTCAAAGGGCGGCCGGCTGCTCTGAGGTGCGGCCAGGGTCAGCTGCTGGTGTGGGTCAGGACTCAGTCGTCATCGGCCAGAGGGCGGACGGCTGCTCTGAGGTGCGGCCAGGGCCAGCTGCCGGTCAGGACTGGGTCAGGACGCAGTGGTGATCGGTCGGCACATGTTGCTGCGTTGAAGTTTGTTACAAAATAGACAGATTACGTCCGCAGTAGAAGCCATCGTTGTCTGTGTAAAGCACTGAGTATCCACAAAGAATGGCGAGTGGTCTGGGCTGGACATAATTTTGGGGGCAACATGAGTACCGGTAGAGTATGGGTGCGGGCCTCCAGATCTGTCCTTACGAAATTTCGAGAAATGTCATCATTAATGTGCTTTTCATTTCGTCGTTATTAACTGCCATTGCGTTAGTTCACAATTATAACAAGAAAAAGCAGAGCGAAAAGTAGCTCGTCTAGAGCTTATGTTTTCATCACTTTTTATAAACTAAAACCAGGGAAGCAGGCGAACAGGCGAGTACAAAACTGCTAAAGGGTGATTATGAGAGTGATTTGAGTGAACAATGGGTTGACGTGGTTAAGGCTTCGCGGGCCACGCATGGGTTGGGTACAGAATATCATACCCGCAAAGAAATACGCGCGTGTGTGTGGAGTGAAGGTGTCATCAAGATGTATTCAGAACACACTTATTTGTTTACAGTCTAGGTAAATCCTACTCCTGTTTACAAAAAATAGCGTTTTCACAACTTTATAGCTGTATAACCACATTTATCTTTCCATCAATTTATTTCGACGCTGGTTGATACTGGTCGTGCTGCCCTGTAGTACTCAAAAACGCCAACTTTCTACCCCAAACACAAACCATTTCTTGGCGATGGTCCTACAGTTTACCCGTTTTTTCAATCCATAACAGACTTCTCTGTTCACTGAATACGATATTTTATTAAGGATGCGGCTCAGAAACCCCACGTCGGGCCACGTACCGCTGCATCCTACGGCCCTTCTAGTGACGGCCCAATGGCATGTAAATGTAATCTTATGCGACGTCAGCACGCTACTTTGGATGTTGATGGCCCGCAATGCGCCACGTTATTGGCGCGTCCAGCTAGACCTTGCGACCAATAACGATTCTCAGCTTGATAATTCAGGCAATGAGCTCAGTGCCTTCCAACATTTCCAACACTGACAAGATACTTTTACGTGCAAGTGAACCTTTGCCATCCAATACACGACTAACGGTGAGCCTCCATGATCCAATACACGGCCCGCGGCCAACCTTCATCGATCTAACACACGGCCAACGGTCAACCTCCATGATCTAATATACGGTCAACGGTGAACCTTCACGATCCAATACACGGCCAACGGTGAACCTTCACGATCCAATACACGCCCAACGGTCAGCCTTTACGAACCTACTTCTGATAGTAATGAGGGTAAGATCGTCATTCGAGATGACCTCAGACTTCACGTTCGTGCCACTGGTGCTAGCATGCATCATCCCTGATGACACGCATTGAGTTCTGGTCCACCGACATAAGGCTGCCGGACAGGCGAAACAGCTCGCCATTTCATGAGGATTACCGTGATGTGTGATTCTGAATTCTGCAAATTCTGGAAAATGTTTAATGCAGACAGCTCGCCTACAATAATTGCTTGTAATCGCATTGGTGACTTTCATGCGTTTGGATGCAATATTACAAGACAGCCACGTTCTGTGGGTTTGTCTTATTACCAATAACTGAGTTGTACATCATTAAAGATCGTACGCGCGTGCCTATGCGTAAAACCCTGATCAGGATGGTCATTGATGTCCCCTTAAGATTTTTTTTGCAAATACCTCTCCGGCATGTGGTGCAATCGCACCCAATTTTTTAGCAGCCTATAAGGCATTTGTTGCCCGTGTTTTGACACAAAAAATGTGTTAGTAGCTTTTCTGGCTTAGGAGCAGAGAGGATTTTTGAGAAACACCGCACAGAGATCTGCGGCCAGCGCGGGCGGCGGGCGGTAACCGACGATGCCACGTAACGCGCGCGACGGGCCGACATTGTAACCTTAACGGAGTTATACATCATGCATGTGTTCTTATAGCACATAAAAATGTACATCATTGTACCCAGAATAAAAACAAGGAAAACGCCTGTTTTGCGTCACCACAAAACATCGTCTCGCAGGTATGATGTTACGCTGAAGAGGTTCCATTTCCTGTAAAAAAAATGGCCTTTGACCTCCCACAATGGGGTCAATTATTGACCTAACAGCATCAAACATTGACAATCGGGAGATCTCACTGGTGTTTTCCGCTAAGGTCCATCTTACGTAGCTTGCAAACGCCAGGGATCGTACCAATTCACGTTAACCCCCTTACCAGCCCAAGTTATGAAAAACAGCGAATCGGGGCAAGGGAAACCATAATGGGTGGGGAAGGGGGCGGGGAGAGCAAGGGGCATGGGTTACCCGCCTTTCGTTAAGTTCAGCGTTGATGCGTGAGATGCATGAGAGAAATCAACGTAGCGGCTGGTCCATCCCTTGTCGTGGTGTTTGTACTTCCCGAACGTGTCAGTGCTCTAAGGGATCGGAGTGAAGGTGATGCCGTCGGCCGCAGCAGAGCAGGAGGCGGCAGGCCGACGACCGGTCATGTGGGAAACGTGGCCCCTTGACCACATGACCCACTGTACCAGTGCCGTATGGTGCGAGTCGGCGACGACTCAGGAGGCCCTGGATCGCCGCCGGAGCTGTGGCACCGCTGACGGGGGAAACGTCCACGGGTTTACCATAGTCACGAGATCATGACGGGTTCCTCTGGAGGTCGGGCAGTGAGGTTATCACACATCACACATGAACACAATTAATGTGAGCAAAGCTAGCATGCTGACGAAAGCTTACGGGCAGCAGGTACCTATTAATCTAATTTGAGATGGCGACCTTGTTGCCTACCAATAAAACTGTTCCTTGCATGCCAGGAGTGCAGCTATATCGAATCGTACCCTTGGTGAAGCGTTTCCGGACCTACCATTCATTGGCAAGTTGTTCATTTACGTGAACGACGCATGACCTACGCAAGTGATGCAGTGTTTGGATACTCAGACTTTCAATAGCGGTTGAGGGGAGGGGCAGTTTGACCCATCCCCTAAGATCTAAAATCTTAGAGAGAAAATCTTAGAGAGATACACAACTTGACAAGGCTGGTGGTCGGTATGTGAACCCACCTATGTCAAACTTTCAGGTTCACGGACCATGACGTCGTGGTCAAATAATATTGAACTCTAGATTAGTGTCCGAGGTGCCTCCAGACCTCCTCATGCAGCCGTCTGGAACCAATATACCTGTTCTAAGCAAAAACTCACTGGTTTTATTTAAGGTCAGTGACCTCTTTTGACGTTTGGAATGCCAAGATGATCAAAAACCTACGAGATTTCTTGATTCCATTTGCATAAACGTCGCAGATTAGGCCAGGCGGTTTGTTTCTTAAAGTAACACGTTGACCTGTGTCATTTTTGGTCAGTGACCTACTCTGACCTGTTAGAGGTCCATAGAAAATGCCAGTTTCGGCTCTTGTTATTGATCAGTCTAGTATGAACAACAAAAACAAACAAAAAAAAACACAAGATAGAGCTGAAACCCAGAAGGCAATTTAAAACAAGCTCCCGATTAAAAAGCAGGGTAGTTTTGACCTCGGTCTGACTTTTATTCCCATTCCTAGTTCAATAAAACTTTTTGTTATGCTAAATTGAATTGTTTTATTACCTAAGCAACTATCTCAGAGATGTATGACTTTGCCTAATGCTCCGTTGTTGCACCAGACTTAGCGACTTCCTACAAATGACCTTCTCCGACAGCCACGGCCTGACTTTTGACCTGTCATAGCTCAGTGGCCTTACAGGGTGCACCTAATTTTTATACCAAACTGTACGCTTTTCAGTTGGCTACACTGTGCAAAGTGTGGAGCGGCCACACCGCGCCGTTCGGAAATCATTCTGGAAACCCTCGTGGTCAAATTGGCCCTCACCCGAGGGTGTGTGTTAAAGGGCGAGACTTTACAGCAGCATTGTAATTTGGACATCACGTTGTCTATCGCATTCGATTAACATGGATGCCGTAAAACGTTGCCAACGGGGAAGTGTCTTACAACGCAGATGAAAGCCAGATTCAGACCGCGACTATCCTCTGTAGGTGCCCGATCAAATCGAATGGAAAAAGTCAAACGAAAGATGCTGAGCGAAAAAAGTTGACACTGATAAAAGTCGAATCGTCAAATGTCAACGGACCAAAAAAAACGGCAGCAGTCAGGAAAAATAGATAAGTCAAAAGACAAAAAGTCCAAAGGGACAAGAGCCGGCAGGAAGTGCTCAAGACTCTGGTAAGAGCTTGTAATGGCACACTCGTTATCATAAGCATAGCTTGGAACACCGAACATTGGCAGTATAATCAATGTTTGCTCTGTAACGGCGTTTAAATGTACCTTCTCCGCATAGAAACCCTGAACTCTGAAAACCAAACACAGGGGTGTAATTTCCTATTCAGATGGGGAGGAGTGGAGTTGGTAACCCACGGGAATAAGGGAAGAAAATGGCTTAAATCAGGGAAGACATCCGACTGTTGGCGTTTGAAGGCAGGATGCGTAAGTTTCCTCTGCTCCGCCCGCTCGCCCAGCTTTTTAAACTTGCTCTCCTGGCCAAAACACCAGAAGCTTAAGGCCCTCCTCGCGATCAAGCATCGTAGTTTTGTGCCTGGACCGGGTCCACTCCATGCGGGTGTTTTAGGGTTTTACACTGCACACGCGGGCTCACTGCAACAGGTACCGTCCTCTGTCTCGCGGCCGCCCTGCATACCTCGCTACCCCTCACTCCCCATGGTAAAACACCTGGGATACCGGAGTCGTGCACCGCCTCTCAGGCGGCGAGCCCTAGCCTACGTTTCGGAACGGTTGACACCTGTATTTTGGTGTTGTTTTTAGCCCTTAGGAAACAACTTTTTCGAAAGCCACCTTTAGCATTTCCCTGGTCCCGTCTTGCCCCGTCCCATAGCGTCATACTCTCAGTCCAGTCCCGTCTGATCTGTCCCGTTCCGTCCTGCCTCGTTCTGCCCGGTTCCGTTCTGCCTCGTTCTGCCCGGTTCCGTCCTGTCTCGTCCGGTTCCTTTCGACCACGTTCGGTGACGTCCACTGCTGTCTGATCGCGTACGGTCACACGTGGTTCCGTCTGGTGCCGCTATCGCCACGCTCGTCCTGGGTCGCGAAAGGTGTCTTACTTGTAAAAGCCGGTGCACAATAGTCTGGTGCGTCACACCATTCGGTACATGTAACGTTTCAGGGTCCTTCCGAAGGCGGCAATGTCTGGAACACTGTCGCCGCATCGTTGTAGGAGGAAGTGCAAACTTCCTAAAGTTTTCAGAGTGGGTATGGTTCCGAAACAATTTTGTTCTTTTACGAATGCGTCGAGATTGATTGGAAAAGTTGTCGCACAATTTGTCGTGACCTTTCCTCGCAGGAAGAAAGGCCTTTGGTCTGTCGCTGGTCAGGACTGACGCACGTGCCCCAAACATGGACACATGGAGAATGGCTGCAGTCTGCCATGGACTCTTACAATCTTGGCGCGGCGTTTAACTTGAAAGACGAAAAATTCAATGGGTTGTAGCAATGCGGCGTGCCTCGAATTGTTACAATCACTGCACAAGCCCCATTTAAACTCTGGGCGAACGCTGTTTTAAACCATTCTGAGGACAGACACAATGCATGTAACACAATGCAGTGTTTCCATATTCGGTACAAAAGAATGCTATCCAGGCCCATCTGAACCCGAAACTAATGCCATTTCTGTTTGTACCGTCATCGAGTGAATCCATCTTTTCACAGGGGGATGTCGACTGCCTCTAGGAGTTACATCGGGTCAGATAAAGGATGAGGACATGACTGCCTCGTCCAGCTACGATGAGAACAACACAGGACCGCAGAACGGAAGGTAGGTACTCCATCAAAGCGTAGTTACCGAGGAGTGAAATGATTGTGGGATGAATGGTATAGCTACAAGATATATGTATGCATATACACATATAACTGTTGAAGACCAGGGCGCATTCCGCTTTACTGGGCCTTTTTTGTTATGATCAATCAACCTTATGTTTTGCTTAGCTTTGTTCGACAGGTTAAAGATCAATGTACCAAAAGTAGTTGCCATGTATTTTATCTTTACGCTTCGTAAATATCTACTTAAATCTAATATCACAATAAGACACGTGCCACCTTTGCATTCGCTTTGGCAATTCGGAACGGTAAGTAATGAAATGACAAAGAAGAAAAATCTCAGTTTAGAAGCGAGCAATGCTCCTATCTCTTTTTACATTTTCGTCATCCTCATAATGCTAAAGTGATCATGACTTCATTTCCTTATTAAGTGATGGAGCGGCTTCCCTGGCGTGCAGGGATTCACACCCCAATCGAATTTTGTTCGAGATGGGTCCTTAATTTGCTTTGTATTTCCTTTGCATCCTTGTATTTTTTTGTTACGCACAAACACACACACACACACACACACACACACACACACACACACACACACACATATATATATATATATATATATATATATATATATATATATATATATATATATGATGACTGGTGTTACATGTGACCTGCAATTTTCGAGCCATCACTGGCGTCGTGACTGAACAAAATATCGTAATTTGTAAAGTTCAGCAATACTCGAGCTTTGGCAGCGTGGTGACAGCTTCATTGTTTTAGCCAGTAGAACGGAAAACGGCACGCTGTCACTTAAAACGCATACCGAGCATATCACCCTCACTTTGCCTCAGTTGGTACAACGAATAAAACTTATCCATTTCATGCAGACATGTGACTCTCATCTCAGAACCCGCTCCTGTGTGAATTGCGTGCGGTGCTCATACATCAACTGACGAGTAAGATCAGACTGCTGTCCGCTCCTGTGTGAATCGCGTGCGGTGCTCATACATCAACTGACGAGTAAGATCAGACTGCTAGGCGGCCGGTTTGCAGTGATATTTTAGGACAGGTAAAATTATATCTGTAAAAATGTCCATTGCACTGGAGCTGCCCTGCAAAGGTGGCCCTCGCAGCGACGAATCCTTGGCAAAGACTGGCGCCAAAGCCATTCACGCAAGAAATTTGGACAAGCCTCGTTAACAAGTAAACGAACTATTCTTTATGCTAAGGTGTCCATCCAGCCACCTTAACCTGATGAGCACATAGAGGCTAATGTGTGCTTGGTGCGCATGCGTTGTGACGGGATTCTGGTGACCTGACCCCGTACCGACAGGGTGAACGTCGAGAGGTCGGCCGGCGCCTGGTGTCCCCTGCTTCCCGTGTCACGTGGCTCGCGGGAGTATCTGCAGGTGGCGCTGCCCGCGGAGCACGTGATCAGCGCCGTGCTGACCCAGGGTCGCTACGACCGGGGCCGCGGGGTCGAGTACACCAAGGAGTTTACGCTCGAGTACTGGCGCCACAACGTGGGCTGGAAGAACTACACCAGCTGGAATGGAGCGAGGGTAGGTGTCGGCAAAGGAAGGAAAGGGGGGGGGGGGCGGGCGTTGGGCGACACGCTGCTGTGCCCACAAGAACCGACTGCAGTTTCCGTGCCCTCAATGTCGCAGGTATTCGACACAATTCCAGGCATTGATAGGCCAGCGTGTTTTCGTGGCCCCGTTCTTTGTTGAGGACTGTAGCTGAGGTCGATAGCTAATTATTTCACTTGTATGGAAAAGATGCCGTCACAGTTCCATTTGTTCTGCAGAGTCGTTACAGCGGTTACTGTAGTAATTTAGCTAGTTTTGCTTTGGTCCTTCACATTTTTATGGTCTGGTGAACAAGGAGTCATGCAAATGACAAACAAAACTCAAAGGAACGCACTGAATCAACCACCATCAATTGCTCTTGTTTTCAATTGTTCGATGTTTTTATAGAATCGTTCCTTTATATGGCACTGTATCGCAAACAACAGCCGAGGCGATGACGGCGCGAGCACCTGTTTGTGGTGCATGTTTTGCTCGCATTTTAGGTATTAGCATGTTTTGTCTTTTATAATTAAGTTTTGAGTGATTGTAGTAGGACGCTATTAATTTTGAAGAAGTAAGCAATCTAAACTACCTCGTCCTCTCCATAGAATTGTGGCATTTGAGCTCGTTCTATTACGCCCCCCCCCCCCCCCCTACCACCATCGTAACATATTTGGAGCTGGAAACGTCAGAAGCATCATGCTGAATGAAATGTGCAGATTATACCCAGAAAGTGGCATTCAGTGCTTGGATGTCGTTGGTGCAGTTTTGCCCCTTTTAGATATTCGCAGATGGTGTTTGCCGCAGTATATCAATGCTTGGCCAAACGGGGTCGGCGTGCATCAGACGCAAATCCTGAACAAAAACGAGAACTTACTTTCGCGTGGGACACCGATGGCGGATCAATGGGGGAGGAGGAACATTACGATCATTGCCCTTCAAGCGCTCAGAATAGTGTTATTGTGCGTTTTGTCATGTCAAAACTGAATATGTCTCACATTGGTTATTTTACTGACAAATGAACGTAGCACAAACAAGAAACAGACGGGAACAAAAATCCTAAATGGAGGGTGCCACACTTGTATATGATTTTGAACTGAAATAACCATCTTGAAGATCATTATTTGCAGCTCACGGCTCCGCCCTTCTTAAGGGCTAACCTCTCTTGTTTCTGAGCCACACGACCGCAAAGATGTCCACAGTATTTCAGCGAGGCTGTTCAAGGTTAATCAGGCATCTATGACGCTATCGTAGCACCATTCAGATCCTGCCATTCCATTAGCCATCCAGCGATCAAGGCAAATTAAAAATATAATTTTCGAGTCACCCCTATCTGGCTTTCGTGGGCACGATTTCCAAACATAACGGCCGTCAGCTGGCTCTTAATAAATGTGGCGCAGGGTGCGATGACGTAATCAAACAATGACGTAATGAGAAACACGTTTACTAAACAGAGAAGTTGTGGTCGTCTAGAGTAGCCTTTTCCATTTAAAAGTACACCAATAGATAAAAGCGAGCTTAGCTCATCACACCTGATGCTTGCTTTGATATCTTAACACGTGGAACATTCCCTTTAGCGATTTAGCAATAATTTTTTTTTCTTCGTATGTATGCCCATCAGTCACTTCTCTGACTCTGAAGCTGATTACACCCATGAGTAAATTTGTGTTTAAAAGCATACAATTTATACACAAGGTAGCCAGTCTGGGGTTCGTTTCAAACTGGCAGGGCCTAAACCAGTCTGACCGTCAGTGGAGAGGGGGGCGGGCGGTGGGGTAAAGTTTAGGAGGCGGGCGACTTTCGCCGCTTTTTCGAGACGAAGCGAAGGGATGTACATGTATTTTTATAGCAGTGAAGGTGCAACGATTAGAATGATTTTAGAGGGCAGTTGGACTTTTAAGCCCGTCGCTGCCGTGTGCTCAAGAATCACCTGCGCAAGGCCAACGTTAGGTTGAAAAGTTGTCAAAGGCCAGAGTTCATATTACATTCATAGCTCGTGACCTCCTGGAGAACAGACCAGCGTGAACATTGCTCACGCGCACGAACAAGTTGCCGTAGTTGACCCGCTGTGACCTAGGCCTGGGCTCCACATAGCCAATGTCCTCGTTCCCTGATAGTTATTTTTGGTCATCGTTTATCTAAACGCTCAACATTTTAATCCAAAGATGAGAAAAGTTATACTTAGAAATAAATTAAAGTAATTTGCCAGAACGGTTTGCCCCTGATAGCCAAACCGGTCGGGTGAATCCGTCAGTAGCATACCTTACTATCAAACTGGGTTGGTTTACTGGCATCGACTTAATGTTTAAGGGGGTTATGCTTCCTTTCTACTTTTCAGTCATAGCAACGATATTTTTTCGCGGAAGCGCGTATTGCGGAACTACATTCAGCGTTGAGACGTCATTATTTTCACTCGGGTTCTTACCTTGTTTGTTGAGTCTAACATGTGGCGTAATTAATCGAATGTAAACGAGCGGCTGGAACTCGCTCAGTTATTGTCAGATTGCTCCAACTAGCAGTGACCGCCCGGGCAGGTGGTTTTCTTTGCGTTGAAACCATGGCAGCAGCACCACATGGGCTGAAATGATCCGGTATATGACTCGTGTAAGGGACGTGAATGACGGCGGACGGATTTAATTACCGCGTTAGGAACGTTTCGTTTATCAATCACCTGCACAATGCATATACTTCACCTGCCCTGATGTCGCGTCATGTGATCCACGGCAAAAGAAACATGAATAATTCATCTCGCTTAAGATAACTGTGGAATGTTTTACGCAAGGTAAGAAAGGTATATCGTTCCACATTTGTCACATTTGTCACCGCGTATCTCTCGTCGCTTATCACCGCCCTGACAAAAATCGTCTGTGCGCCTAAAAACTTAGTTTGAAAGTTAAATTTCCCAAGGGAATTGATGAGCGTGACCAATGAAAGCGAAGCAAAGCTTCCAGATCCCTTATTACGATTACTGTTGTTAGCTTTTGTTTTCTCTCAAAAAGCATTACAGCGGTCCGCTGATTACGATGCGCGAGGTTAATACCGATCTGGTGACTGATGCATCTGATGAGGTGTTCGTTTTCTTGGCAGCAGGATATCTGTGGCAGGCAAGCAATCATTCGGTCCTTCCAAATTAACTTAAGCGACACCATCTGAAGGTCATCTCGCGTATTCCCCACATTCATCCACCAGTGGCAGCCGGTTGGAATGGCGTTTGGCCTCGATCTCCTCACAACTTCTACCTTCAGCGACCACGGGTCTACTCCTAATACTAGAACCTTGCCTGCAGTAACCAACGTCCCCAATTCTCCGCACCTCACAACACAAAGAAACAGATGCCATTTTGCACCCCCCCCCCCTCCCCCACCAGACCCGGACATGGCAGCAGGACGTTCATCCACCTTTCCTCCCAACATGGGTTCCAGCGGGCCTGACCACCGCAGCAGCTGTACGCGAGTCCGAGGGGGACATCGACCATCACTCCGGGGCCCAAGCGCCAGACGGCGGGTGCCAGGCGCCGTACAAAGTCCGCGTGGGGCCATCAACTTTCAACCGGGCCCAGACGCGGGACTGCGACCGCCAGACGCCGTGCCGCTGCCCTCTCCCGCTGGGGGAGGGGGAGGACTGTCACGCCCGACGCCCGAGGGCTCAGCACCGTCCGACCCGGATCAAGGCGATATCGCGGGAGCGCGGAGCGTGCGAAATTTGCCAGCGACCGACGAAGGGCGGGGGAGAGGGTGACGGTCGCGACTGCTGAATGGAAGTATGGTATGTGGTGGGACTGCGGTCGGTGTAAAGAAAAGCACTCACGGTGTCAAAACTTAAGGTAACACTCACTAAATCATGATTTATGTGTGAAGTATTCGAGGGACCACTGGTAACATCATGTGTTGAGGCATAGTGACTCTTTCCTTCAAGAGAATACATCTGAAGATATTGACGCAAGCAGCAGATGTGGTGAAATAAGCTCACTTATGATTAATGACACATTTTTAAGCGGAAAAGACAACTTTAGACACCACAATTTCTCTGTTTAGTAAATATGCACCGCTATACGCCGCCGTTTAGTTTCAGTATTACACCGCGCACAACATTGATTGAGACCCAACCGACGGCCTTTATATCTGGAGACGGTGCGCGCGAACGCCAGATATGAACGCCTCAACAATTATATTTTTCTTGACCTTCATCGCCGCATGGCTAGCGGAATGGCATGCTTCGAATGACATACTGACGTCATATGGCGTACTGGGTAGCCTTAAGATAGTCTCCCCAAAATAGCCTGCACATCTCTGCGGGTGTGTAGCTCAGAAGCTAGAGGGATTTAGGTCTTAACAAGGACAGGGCTGTGAACTACACCGAATGCTCTTCAAGATGGCTATTTCAGTTTAAAGCTAAATATTAATGTGAAAGACTCCCTTTAAGTTTTCTGCCGAGATGGGCAGAGTATGACATGAATAGCGCAGAATACTACACATGAAATGACTCAAGAAGTTGTTGCCAAACGCAGCTGAGCACGTTGTAGCGACGACGTTATTACGCTGAGTAGCACCGCATTCTCCGTTGGATGTCAGCTGGGTGTGAACAGAAGACTCAGACTCGACCCAAAGGAGCAGGGCTCATGCTCGGGTTATGACTCGGCTTCTCGAGACTCAGGCTCGGGTTGTAACTCGGCTTCTCGAGACTTAAGCTCGGGTTGTAGCTCGGCGTCTCGAGACTCAGACTCGGGCTGTGACTCGACTTCTCGAGACTCAGGCTCGGGTTATGACTCGGCTTCTCGAGACTTAAGCTCAGATTGTGACTCGGCTTCTCGAGACTCAGGCTTGGGTTGTGACTCGACTTCTCGAGACCCAGGCTTGGGTTGTGACTCGACTTCTCGGGCCCATGCCTGATCGCAGCCTGGCGTGAAATGAGACTTTGGTGGGCACTGCTTTGTCGTATTGTAATGCACCCGCGAAATTGGTCAAGAGGCACGCAGTATTTTGTGTTTGTCTGATAGCCAACGACGCGAGTTTCTCCTCGGCCAAGTAAGTTTGAAAGATACGCCTACATTATGTGTACAAATTAAGCCCCTCCTCCATGGAAACTAACCCGTGAAATTTAAATGGAAAGCACTTCACGGTAAACGAACGGAGGTAAACAAAATTACATTTTGAAAATCGATGCCTCCATACCGGGTCCGATAAAACGGCCAACTAGGCCGGAATACGTGTTTTGAGGTCTGCAGGTATCATCCGACCCCACACTTCAACGCTGGTCTCGGTTCGGTCACGTTCACACCGGCGCGATTACACTGCATGGGCGTCACGCCGGGACCCGTGGTTTTTGCGATGGCATGACACTAAAGCGAGTCACCCTGATGCGTCCACTTCTGTGGGTGCTGAATTCCAGGAATAACAAGTTTACGTGCAAACATGGACACCAAAAGAGAAAGTGTAAATTCTAAATAACCAAGGCAAGTGTCCATGCCGCAATACAACTTTTTAATGCCCGTCTGGACTTTGTCAACTCTGAAAAGAGCCTGATGTGCAGAACATAAAATGCGTGCTCGTTAACCGTTGGTATCTACAGTTTTCATCGGTCCGGTACATTCCAATGTTTGTTCAGTATTTCTTCTAACTAAAGACACTGTTGTTTTAACTCGTGCTCAACGCCGCAGACGAATCACTTTTTAACGCGCGGCGATGACGGCGCGGCCTACTTCGGTGCTCGGCATAGCCTCTGACGCGACGCGCGTCTGCCGTTGCCGGCAGATCTTCGCGGGTAACACGAACATGGTGGCGGTGAAGGAGACCCCGCTGGTGCCCCCCATGGTGGCGTCCAAGGTCCGCTTCCTGCCGTACAGCGAGCACTCGCGTACTGTCTGCCTTCGAGTCGAGCTACTCGGCTGCCGGCGCAAAGGTGAGAGTCTGTCCGGATCTGCCAGCACACAGCGGAGAACCTTGCCCTTATGCCGCCGACACATGCAGGTGAGTGGGCACCCTGTCCACAGGCCGTCGACACGCAAGTGAGAACGGTGTTCGAAGGCAGCTGACGCATAAGTGAATCCTCTGTGCAGAGGCTGCTGAAGTTCAAATAAGAACTTGAGAACAAAACAAATGAGTCCAAAAGATGCCAATGCGCAAGTAAAACTCGTATCCCAAGGGTGACGGCATACAGGTGACAAGGTTTTCCACAACCTGCCAATGAGCGGACGCGAATGGCGCCGAAGGCTGCTGACACACGTGCGTGAGAACCCGCTCGGAGGCGGCCAACGCGCAGATGAGTGTCTTTTCCCGGTGCTGTCGACGCACAGGCATTAATTATCGCTGGAGGCTGCCGACTCACATGTCTTAATCTGTCCGGAGGCTTTCGAGAGCCACGCACAGGTGAACAACTGTCCGGAGGCTGTCTTCAAACAGGTGATAATCCTGCTCTGAGGCTACGGACATACGGGTAGGAGATGTATCAGCAAACTGCCGACGCACGCATCAAAGCGTTGAGCCTTGTCTTTAGGCTGCTAACCCACACGCAAAAACTCTACACAGCAGCTGTCGGCTGGACTGGACAGAGGGTGGTAGGCCAGTACCGATGGCCAACGCCCCCCCCCCCCCCCCTCTTCCTCAACCCACCCATCACAACTGTTCCTGTGATGTCATGTTTGTGAGCGGCCGCTTCCCACTTCTGTCGATATTGCGATCAGTAAACGTGGCGCTGCGGCGTGCAGGAGTCGGCCGGGGGCCTGATATGCAGTGGGCAGACCATGATCAGAAGGCTGTCCGTATGTGCGGGATGTCCTCGGCCAGCGGCGCCGCGTCTGCCGCTCTCTACCCTGCTACGCCTCTCGGGCGGACGCTATCTCGGAGCGGCGAGCTTCGCGACTATCCTGGCCCCCGATCACATTCGCCAGCCGACTCAATCAGAAAGAACTCGGGCCGAATCTGGGCTGGCCCGGCCGCCTGCCTCCTCCGGTGGAGGGCAGAGTGGGCAGAGCGGCGCGAGGGGAGCCTCACACGCCGACGAGCCTCACACGCGATGGGCCGACGCGGCCCATCGCGAGGGGCGCGGCGCGGGCGCCGACACGTGCGGCTCGCTGACACGGGGCGTGCGAGCGGCGACAGGTTTTCACACATACGAAAACAGAACGCCGCCGCCCTGACTGGCCGTGGGTAGGCGTCTTGCGAGACCGACATACACAAAAGACGATGCCGTTCGGCGGGTCCATGTAAACTTGATGTGTTGTGTGATCGATGTTTACTGATACATGGTCTTTATTCCTAAATTGTCGGTGGGATTATTTTGATTTGGTGTATTGTTGCAGACATGGCCAACTGGAATTGTTGCACTCTTTAAATAAATTATTTTGTAGGCGATGCATATGGAAAAGGTGTAGATGTCTTCAGATTTTGTTTCACTTCTAAACTTTATGTAAAGCTTTGTCAGGCAAGACCACAACGAACGTTATGAACGTTATAGAGGATACATACCAACTTCCTATACGTAAAGTAAGTACCTTTTTCCGAGCCTCAGTAATTTCCTGAGTGAGCAAAGACATAATCACCGCACCAGACATGCTTGCGATGTGTTAGCAGGAGCATGCACAACGGAGGCATTAGGCCCAAAGAATACGTGAACTGTAGTTTTGTTCGCATCAGTGTGGTCATGCGATCAAAACCGTGTATTCGCCGACAGGCACCAAGTGTCGATTGATATCACCTGTTGGCTTCCGCGAGATGAAAGGCTATTTGTAATTAAGGAAGTCCTGCAGTGGCGTTGCCAAAGACATCATGGTTCTGAGTAAGCGCGGCTTATTAGCCCAGCAAATCCGCCACGTGTTAGGTGCTACCGTATGGCTTCCACACTCGTTGTTGCGCTGAGAGGGCGAGCTGGCTCGTCCCTGCCGACAGACGGAGTGGTGTCGTACTCGATGCGCCAGGGCGACATATATGCCCCGGAGGTCAGCCTGCGTGACCTCTCGTTCGACGGCGAGTTTCGGCGCGGCTTCCTGTCACGTGGTCTGGGTCAGCTGACGGACGGCGCCGTCGGCGGCGACAGCTTCCTGGCCGACCTCGGCCATGGCGCAGGTGAGGACTGCCGACGGAGCCCGGCGGCGCCCTCTCCGGCGACGGCCGGCGGCCGCGCCTGGCCCTTCAGTGAGTGTCGGTGACGCTGAGTGGCAGGTGAGGAGAAAATGTGGCGGGAAAATGGCCACAGATCCCGCGGTTTCCTCGGTGGAAACTGACGCGCGATAATGAGAACGCTTCGTGGTTTGCTTGTCAGTTTTGACCTTCAGCTGCGGAAATCCGGCCTTGTTTGCGAGATTCAGTCCACCATACCACAATCGCACATGAAGAGAGTCTTACCACAGCGTGACTCTATTGGCATTCCGTGTCCATGCACATTCGCCAGAAATGTAAGCGTCGCCCGCGAATAACCAGTCCCTGTCCATTGCCATTGCACGTGTACACGGTGTCTGCATAAAACCTCACGGCTATGGTCCCTGCACATTCGTGCAATAATTTCAAAACTGCATAAGACTACCTCGCTGACCCGTCCCTAACGGGCCTGAAGAGCGCGTGGTTCAACGACCGTGCCACTCTCTTTCGGTCGCTCCCCTTCGACTCAGACCTCGCTGTTTTGTATGCGGCGCTCAACATGTTTGCATTTTATTCGAGCCTCCTGGTCTGCAAGTATACTCTATCGCACTTTCACAGGTTGTTTGGTATTCGTGTTGGTTTCACTTCGACGAATTTCAGGATGCGTGCCCACACAAATGGTGCATTTGACTTACAATGAACCCAAAATGAGATTATAGAGTCGCTCTAAAGGAAATATGCCCGACATGTGCTGTGAACAAGCAAAGCGCAGTATTTGAAGAAGCGGCTCGTGAATTCTGTTAATACAGAAATAGAGCGAAAACAATTATTGTTTCGAAGAGAGTGCTAAACACATAGTATGAACAACGTAACAGAGCTTTCAGCGACCAAAAACATTTCGAAAATGGAGAAGTTAGCACTTTTTTAGCACTCGTAACCACGTTAGGATTCCGGAAGGCTTAATGCACTTCTAGTGGATCTTCCATCGGCTCTCTAACTTTGTTTCAGGCTACGAATGGGTGGGCTGGGCCAACAATGCGTCTCAGCAGTATCCCATCGAGATCACATTTGAGTTCGACGCCATCCGGAACTTCTCGCTGGTCTCACTTCACACCAACGTGCACTACGGCCGTGGCATTCAGGTAAGAAGGCCTGCGCTATCCGCTGGGCACGTCCGTCGTGTCTAAATCAACACAGAATACCGTGAGGCAGGACGGGCCACGCCTGACGAAGACCTGACGGGCATCTGCATATTTATGAACTTTCGGAACACTTATCGAACAGATCATAGACATCAACATCAGGACGTCGGCTGCATTGCTCCTAATCTCGTATGGGAAGTAAAAGATAAATAATAGGGAGTGGTGGAGGGATCTCGTACAGGGTTGGCCATTTTGTCGGGCACTGTTCACCGTGAATACATTCACTTCAGAGCAACCGCCAACAAAAATAAATGGAGAGCGTATTTCCCGATCGACGCCGAACGTATTATCAGCCATCGGTCGAAATTGATCCACTTCGGGTTCGGAGCTCATTTCAGCCTGCAACATGTCAGGGCATCATTGAGCATATTAGGAAAGCAATAACTTCGATGTACTGCACGCACCTTTCTCGTGGACGAGTAATGCGTCACCACAAATCTGTCTGTTTTCAACAGTCAAAAACAACAGTCAAACAGTGCACTGGCAGTCAGTCAAAAACAGTCAAAAACAGTTTTGCAAAATGCAACCACAGCCATCAGTGACGGCTGGTCCGAAGCCCATCAAACAGGCGACCGGACAATGGGCGCTGGTGGGGTGGGGGATTGGGGTTTCACGAATACGACTAATTCCACGAACCTCTTCGCAGCAGTCAATAACTAATTAATTGAAAGGTCTGTGATAGTGGCCTGCCCGCGATACGACGTCGCTGTTCGGAGGAAGTCCCGGGCGCCGGCTGGCGTTTCAGTGACGGGCCACCAGCCTTGTTAGCGAGCCACGATCGGCGTGGACTCTAATTGAGCCGCGCGCGCCGACGAGTGGCGGGACCGACGCAGCGTCGGCTCGTTCTCCGGCTCGTGCGCGAGCCCTGGCGCTCACTCGGCCAGGTGAGAGCCGTCATTCCGGCCGGCCGAACGTCCGAACTGCCGCCCAGCCGGTCAGCCGGGCCGGAAAATTGGCGGGAAGTGCGGCTAAATGGCGCGCCGAGTCGTCTCCAGTCGGTTCGGAGGCCGCCGGGAGTGGCGGCTGCCGGCGGCCTCCTCAGCGGAAACTGTGGTCGGCCACCAGGTCAGACATCGTCAGAGAAACACTGAGGCGAGGGATAGAGCAAACCTATCCGTGAGATTGCAAGAGGATACGGCAGCTTTGTGCGGCTGGCATACTTACTGCCGGACACGGGCGGGGACAATGCTTTTTATGTCCTGCCTTGTCCCGCTTTTATAGCTCGCAGCCTGCCTGATTGCTGTTCTACCCTTTCACGTGAGCATGAGGTTAACGATCAAATCCGACAGTTATGTGGTGCAGTCCCTTTCTACATAGCACCCAGTGGTTGTAAGTGCCTTAGATCCTTCCGTATGTAGTACTGTAGGGAGTCGTACCTCCCGGGCTTTTAAACGTAATATTGACCCGCTAAGCCCACAAAAATAGCAAAACGCTACGTCAGACTACTCGTGCTTATCATGCT